CGGAGAGCTGAAGCACAATTTCATGTCAAAGGGAATTTAACAAGCATGTCCTTGATATGTGTTTATGTAATTATAACATAATTAAACATCTAAGCACTGACTTACATACAATTTTACACTCACTGAATGATTTGAGGTTTGTTTTGTTCTCTCTTGTTATTTTAGATTTCATTTTCCTATATAATTTCATGGCTCTAAGATAGAAAAATAGCTGTGAATATCAGCATTTTAGCATTGTCATTGTGAGCATGTTTGCGTATGTAGCTCACGGGACCACTGTAGACTTCTATTCTTTTTCCTTATTAGGGTCGTTACTTAAGTAAAGTAAGTAACACATTGCTCGGTGCTTTATTTTTAAAGTAATGCCTTACCTTGCTTAATTTCTCTCTGTAAAAAGTATATATACTATATATATATTTGTTACACTGCTCGTTACGTTACTTTTGTGCTACTCTACAACATCGAGCCAGACACACACAGTTCAGGGTTTTATAGTAGACTAGTCCAGCTTATTTGACGTGTTTATCACAAAAGCAGTGCTTAGACCTCATGAGGAATAGTCTCTCAAATTTTTTGTCAGTCAAACTGTTTCAGGCTGAAGAGTCTCTTCACAGGCACACTAGATGGCGTCGCTGTGTTGAGTTTAATGGATATTGTTGCAAACATTTAAGATCTCCATCTCTAAACCCGACTTCAGATATTCATCCTTGTCAAGTCACTCAGGCAAATTTTTTTTGGTTACATTTTTGTTCTATCTGCAGATAAGTGAAGAACTTATGTACCACAAGTAACAACATAAATGTTTTATTAGTTACTGCAATGTGATTACAGAATTAAGAACAGTAATGTTTTACATTGCTGCATTATAGACAAATGTAATGTGATTACAGTAATGCGTTACACCCAACACTGGTCCCGTATTATGTAGATTTAACTGTTTGATCCTTTCAGTAACCTCTGAGCAGATTATTTTTATAAACGATCTTTCTGTTGTAACTGTAAAATTAAATATCATAAATATCATATATTATTCACACACTGAGTACAAACAAACAAGGACTGACTAAAGTTTCACAGTTTTCAGAGCACTTTAAGGGCCTCATAATACGCTGCGTTTCCCCACGTTTAGCTTATTGTTTGGTACATTGTTCTACTTTAAATGTAGTACTTCAAATACTGACTACAAACCTTGATTAGGCACTTTTCATATACACCAATCTCAGCTTAATTCATAAGCTAAGACATTGTCTTTGCACAAAATGTTATTGTTCTAATAAATTTACTTTGTGCAACCATAGAGACAAATCACATTTCGCAGCCAGACTGAAAATGAAAGAAAATGTCCTCTCAACAGCAGCAAATGAGAGCTGCGTCCAGAGAAAGCTTGTGTCACTCATCTGAATCAGCTGATCAGCTGAAGTTCACCAACATTTAAAATACATCATTTTAGGATAATACTAAATATTAAACAGCTACTGTTTGCAGTCATTTGTCCTCACCAATGTAAGAAATTGTCTGCTGCACTAAAAGAAAATCACACTGACCAAACACTACAAAGGGAAGCGACTTAAGTAGAAAGCATAGAAGGTTCAAGGACTTTCCTGCTTGCGCCTTGCACTTAACCTGTTCTTGAACAAACATCCAACCTCAGAGTGCTTTTTACCATCCTTTTGATTTAATAACAGCAGTCACAAAGAGCGCAGACCCATGGCGAGATTTTAGCAGTACACTCAAATGCTTGTCAGGCTTTAGTCGCCTGTTTGCCACATAAAATGGGAGCCAAGATCTGAGATGATGGATTGATGGAAAACAGAAAAAAAACAGGCTGGTGGGGAGATACAGAGCAAAGTGAGCAAAAGGGAGACTCGAGGTAACATGTCTCTCATTTTTAGAGAGTTCAATAACTCAGTATGTTTTTGCATATTTCTCACAATCTGCATCACTGCATTAATGATTCTGTTAAAAAATACACAGAAAGTGGGTGAATGCAATGTAACTGGTTGCTTGGGAACTCAGATTTTCGGTTAAGTTCCTGTATTTGGGTTCTGATCTGATCTAAAATAAAACTCTGTGATGTGTAGGATTTTTAAAAAAAGATGTTAGTGTGCATATAAGAAGAACTTCATCACACTGTCACAGGCTGTGATGTGTTTGAAGGGCTTTTCTCCGCACTGCAAACATTTTTGTAGCTCTACTGCTGAAGAGAAATGTGGTGGGTGCAGATTACTTTGATCAAGACTGCTTGACAAATCTGAGATCGGAGAGGCCTGTCCAACATTGAAATTTGAGATGACTTTTCAAAAAAGGTCAAGGTGTAACTGGAGTTTTACCCCAAAGATGAAAGATTTGAAAGCGTGTGCAAAGATGAAAAAAAAAAAATGTACATAACAAAAACTGTTTGTCAAAGTACACGTCCTGGGAGCTACTTTTAATTAATTTCAAGTTACTACTCGAGCATTTCTGAAATAAGCAATCACAAAAACAAAAAGCTTGTGTTTGGGATTGAAGCCCAGGGAGGGCAACATGTTTTCACAGAGATGCAGACATCCGGTAAACCGTCTTTGTCTCAACTGGCTTCCATATAATAAGAAACTGTAGGAAACACACTTGTGGGCAAACAATTGTCTGATTTAGAATCTTAATCAGCTAGATTGATTTCCCGGTGACCTTTGTGTGGATATTTAAAGTTTACTTGAGAAAAAAAAAAACAGTATGGAAGTAACATCATTTGGCAGTTTGGTCAGCAGCACAGTGAGGAGAAAGATGGATATCTAGGCAACAGGCCATCTGTTTTCTCCCACCACTCAAACTTATATCCGTCTTGATAATTTTTCACAACATGAAACATGCTCTTTCTTATTGTTTGTCCATCACGATAAAGTGAAGAGGAATATCGTGGAAGCTCCCTGGACAGAGCTGTGTCCTAACAGCACCCCAGAGACTGACTGCTGGCCTCTGGATGACTGACAATGAGAAAAGATGGGAGATGGTGTTGAGGCTGGATGGAAAAAAAGGTAATTGGTGGGAGGAGATGGGGGAAGAGTCCCTGCAGTATGTGCCCATCATGCCTACACAGTGCAGGGACCTGGCTCAGCCAAGGAGACACAGCGCTCCCTACTGAGGCTGACTCAGCTCATCTGGGCTAATTAAACCACGCAGGGATAAACAAGGGCACTGGAAACTGGAGCCTGCTGGGAGACGGCGCTCCACATGCTGCCTGCTCAAATGGAAATAAAACCAACAGGAGTTCAGGACCGGGGGCTGGGGGACCTGCTGTGCATAGAAGAACATGAGGAGGATTGATAGGAGGCTGACTTTTTGATGATGGATCTTCCTTAAGTTGAGTCCAGAGTAAATAATGTCCATCTGCTGGACCGCTCGTAGCTTGGCTAGCTGCTCTGGGAACTCCCCTGTCTGCCCTTCCACTGGTTCAGACGTGAGCCGGCCATTCAATGAGCTTCACTGTGGAACCACTCAGGCAGCAAGCCTCCCTAAAACACTAAATCTGAACCACTAAAGAGATCTCTCACACGCACATCAGTATTGAGGATAACATAAAGCTGCACGACTTTAGAATGAAGATCATCAAAGAGGCTCCACTTGAAAGGGTTTTGAATATGTATTATGATTAATGAGAAGTTTACAGGAAAATATAATCTACCAGCCAGTCAGAACTGGAGGTGCAGCGACTGACAATGTCTTTGAGTACTTTGCTTAGAGTCTCACTCTGAATACAATGGCAGAATAAGCCTGAAGAAGTGCTTCAACTGGACTGAAAAGGGTGCAAACAAATCAGCCTTTTAGTGATTGTGTGAGCAAATCCTTCAGGAGGAAGGACACTGCCAGTAGTACAGTCATAAAGAACAGTACATAACAATTGTTAACCATAGCAATAACCATATTAATTCACCTGATATACATGTATAAAATACAAAACAATGTAGTTGTTTGAGGGAAATTAGCTGAAAAAACAAAGCTGATAAAGATCATCTGATACATCTTTAAATATAGCATGTTTCTGGAGCTTTATTTGATTTAAAATGTAGTAAGAGTTTCTGGGTGTGAAACTGTCCCTGAAGTGATTTCATAAGGAGGAATTCATTTCTGTGTTAATTATGGCCAAAATAAATAAAATGCATGAAATAATACTTGTACGAGCCTTAGTGCGGGACACAATTGGGAAAAGACAATTTTAAATACTTTATTTGATTTTCATCATTGTCTTATATTCGGCTATATTTCATTACATGCCAGTATACTAAATACAAAAAAAAAGATAGTGATGAGAAAAAGGAGCCCACTGTGGGAGGCTATGGTTGCAAGTGGTTGCAGCCACATTACATGATAGGCAAGAGCTTGAAGCTCATTTAGAACCAAGATGTTTGCGGGAATGACAAAAGTAGGCTCTGTGGGGTAGAAACGTTATGCTAGTCTGGATGTACACAGCTGTTCAAGACAGGAAGGACTGAGTGGTGGATAACTGTGCTGACTCTGTATGGGTCCACTCAATGTACCGGAAGCAATCCACCAACACCAAGTTTGGTGGTAAAAGTCATTAAATGTAACAAAATGTTACTGATGGAGGAATTATATAACAAAAGCA